TCGACAAATTCATTGTGGTTATATGGTAGAGTACTTTGTGCCAAGAGCAAGTGAAGCACAAACTTAAAAGCTAGGAAGCACCGCGCCGCTGTTGCGACAGGGTTGGTTTTCTTCAGCGGTGTGAATCTATGGACCCCACTGAGGATCGAACTCAGGACCATACACGCATTACGTATGTATGCATACTGCCCACCCGGTCGTCAGACAACTGATAAGAAGGTTTTTCATTTTACTTTTAAACAATTTAGTACAACCCATTTTTGCGAGCTGAACGCGGGTATGGCACCTTACATATATCACCACGAATTAGTTGCAAACATGCCAACCTGACAACACGTCTTAAAAACATGGTTGTCGAGGCGAGGAGGTTCATGAACAATACAAATAATCAATCCTAGCTGATATAGTCATGTGGAAACTTGAGAACAACAATAAAAGTTTTCTCAAATCCTCAGTGTTTTATCGCCGTTATGTTGATCACACACTGGTAATAACTTCGAACAAAACAGATGCCATGGTTATGTTTAACAAATTGAACGGGATGAACAGCATTATCAGGTTCACTTTGAAATGTGAGACGAATTGCTTCTTACCATTCCTAGACCTACAACTATCAAGATTGAAGAATGATATACTCCTGACGTCAACTCATCACCGGTGTACGTGGACGGGCCAATGTCTACATTTCCAAGGTTTTTGTCCTCTACGGTACAGGATTGGATTGGTAAGAACCTTGTGATAGAAAGTGAACTCAGAGATTTCAGGGTTGCCTTGTCCCCTAACGGTTATCTCCTGCATTTTATATAGAAATATTTCACGCCTACCATTCCCAGGCCAACGTACACTACGGTCGAAAAGAAACCGGTTTTCATTGGTGCACTATTCAAAATAGACTGGCTGGTCGTCAAATTCTTACTACAATTTAGTCTGCCTATCCTACTGCAATGCTGATCATAATTCACAAGACAATGAACTCATTTGTTGGGTCAGGCATAGACAGATCCAGTGATTTGTTCCTCTCCAGTTGCATTTATCTTTTTCAATGTACTTGCGATTCGCGCTAGGTCGGAAGAACTGCACACCGGCACGTTCCGAATAACTTATCGCTTGTAGGAGGAAAGCTTCCAGCAAACGCAGTGGCACGACATTTGCTGGATATGGGAAACTACATTGACAAACGCGAAGCTTCCCGCCTTATGCTCAAATTTCGAAGTCCAGGGATGCTTAGGTATGCTGAAGCGGTTGTCATTAGCAGTTTAAGGCCCTACGTATGAGTGCAAAAGGCCTTTGCGATGCAGTTGTTATTACCGTGGCAATTGGCTTTCTCTTTCCTTCTCATCATATCAACCGTTCTCTTACATCACTGCTGACATCTCACTCTTCTCGTTTTTTTAGTAAGTCACTCTCTTCGATCTACTTAATGGATCCATTTGGTACTCCCCTAACTTTCTACGTCTGTTCGACTCCATTTCTGGTTGTATTTTTTTCGTATTACGTAACCATGCCCAGATCTGTTTTCACCACGACCATTTGTTTTCCATTACGTAACCGTTTCTATGCTACCATTCCTCTGCTCCTCTTTCACACAAACCCAAATGACTTTGTAACGAATCGACAAACCGGTGATTTCTCCTTGAACCCATGTAATTATGTAAATGTCTATATATGGTTCACTTATGGTAAAACTCGCCCTATTTAATGTGCATAGACAGCTGCTTAACAGCACGCGAAATTGATGGCAAATATCAATTCTGCTCATATTGTTTTCCTTGTTTTATTCAAAGAAACTAAGTGTACCACAACAAACAAATTATGCCGGTAACTAGTCCCGTCAATTCAATTATTAGTCCATAGTACTCACGAGACTAGAGTAACCGAACGTCAACCAAAGGACGTTAATAATGTGAAAAAATTGTTGTGAAATGATGATTTTAGTAAAATAAGTCGAACGAGAACTTTTCAAACGAAATTATTTCAAACGTATGGGTCAGACGTGTGCTGGCTTCGTGAACCCATGGATGATTTATTTTAATTTTACATTCACATTTTCAAACACCAAGTTTAACTTCAAGAGACTGTTGAATTGCGGAAGGCTTTAACAGTAGGCTCCGTTGCGTTCCTTCGAATCTGTGAAAATTCGGAAACAGAGGTTATTCACGTCGAAACTCGAACATGAAATTAAACCGTTTTTTCTCCCGGTTTTTAGACTTGTTTAGTCCGTTTGTATAAGTACGGAATTTCACCGTCTTGTGGTGTCATTACCTTCCGTGATCGAGTGCTGTGTCTAGCGTTCTAGGTAGATTATACTGCAGAATCATCTTTGAATGGTGTAAACATCACAGGAGATGTTTGAGAGCAGTTCGAGACGCGACATTCTCGCTATCGCAGGAGACTAGTCCATCAGACGAACGTACTCGGAATGTTCTGGGAAAGTTCAGCCTTGGTCAGCATTGTAAAACTGCCGAACGCCTAGTTACATTTGCTGACCGTAACCGGCTGGTCGTGGCCAAAACCTGTTTTCAGCACCCCAGGAAACACCTGTTTACGTGGTACTCAAACGATAGTCGAATGGTACACCACATTGAGTATATTTTGGTACGTTCTCGCTGGGCCTCTTCGGTGGAAGTCTGCCGTTCTTATTACGACGTAGAAACTGGAAACAGGAGCGGCACGTATCATACCCTTGTACACGCCTACTTTTAGATCCACCTGACTACTCGCCGGAACACTCGTCTCTCGGGCAAATTCAAAGTCGCGCTCTTGGAACGACTTGAGACAATGCAGACGCTGTTGGACTCAACCGCTTCAAACATGGCCGCATTTTCCGTGATGACTCAGAAGTCGACGCGCAGTGGTTTACGATGTAAACGTCCATCAGAGAAACGGCGCGGTGGCAGTGATGTGGTATTCTTCGCCACAACAGAGAATTGATCTCCGAGCGTACACTGCATTTGTCCTCAAACGCATAGGATGCGCGGCTGATCTATTCTCTTGAATTCGGTACTTTCTGTCACCAAGCCTTACGCTCCACCAAGAGTAATTGCAAATAATACTGGAAATCCTTTGCAGACAGCGTAAACACTGCAACCGTGGCAGCAGACTTTGGAAAGCTCTTCCATCTAATTCGTGTCGCAGAGGGAAGAAGGCAGACATCGAGCCCATTGTGGCGCAGCACCACAAGCTAACTTATTCGGGGCACTGAGCAAAAAATGCAAAGGTGAGTTGGACACCTTGACTCCGTCGATACGGAATCTTTGTCGTACAAGTTGCGGTCTGACGGGATCCCTGAGAAATAGATCAGGCTTCTAAATTCACACTCCTCAGCAACGCGGGCTCGCGTCTATTCCTATGGAGAAGAATCAGATGAGGTTATCCTAAGTTCTGGAGTTAGACAAGGTTGTCCCCTATCAGGGATGTCATTCAATTACACCATAGATTGGAGTATGCGACAAGCACTCATCAAGTACCCCGTAGTGCCCAGATACAGGGACTGCTGACCTCGAGTTTGCGGACGATGTCGTTGTACTTGGAAACACCATGGACAACCTTGTTGTCAATCGTATAAATAAGTTTGCCTAGGCCATTTGGCTAGAGCTCAACAAGTCGAAAAGCGAAACAATTTCGACCGAAACATTTGCCATCACATAACCCATCTCGAATAACGGGGGGCTTGTCGAATCAACCGGAAATCTCAAGTTTCTTGGATCCACCATAAGACAAAACGGCCACGCTAAGAAAGAGATTCAACTCCGTGTGGATGGACCTAGGACATCCTTCCTGCAACTAGTCCTACCTTAATGGAATTGATGCAAAACAACAGTAAACTTTGGGTTAATCAGGCTTACGTCCGCCCCCATCCTCACGATGGGAAACCTGGCCGCTAAGAGTACCAGATACCAGGAAACTCGGAATCCTTGATCAATCGTGCTTACCCCTCAACTTGAAAGAAAATTGAAAATATCGGATTTCCAATGACGAGGTTCGATGTCGATTGTTGAACATTGACTAGCTCTGAAAAATGCTACAACGCCGGCGCCTTCAGTGGTTTGGCCATCTGCTCCAAAGGCCCCCCACTCAACTCTGGCGACAGGCTGTGGCCCGCGTACCGTGCGCTGGATGGCGTTGCCTACTCGGTGGTCAACTGATGATCTGTAGTGGTACGATGAAGGCGGATTNGGAATTACTGGGCCTCTAATCCGTATATGGAATTCGTAACCGGAACCAGAACCGGGTTTCACACTGCATCAACCTTGCTACCAATTGTAACGTATGGAACACCAACATTAGAGATATTCATGAAACCGACGTATCCTTCCGCAGGAGTTAGTCGATCAAAGGTAAGTCAAAAGTAGTTATTGAGCAAACGGCTTTGCTGCAATGGTGCCGACCTAGGCAAACAACAACAGTGACCAACCCCGCTTTATGAATATCTACAGATTATCTGCACAAGCAACCAATTATCCATGTAATGAAACTATTTGAGGCCTTCCCTGGATTGCCACTTTCTTCTTGTAGGTGGAATTCTAAATTCACTAGCGTTCTTTCAGATTTGTGCACATTAAATACGTAGTTATTCATGTCATGCCCGAGAGTGCAAACGTGATTCATTCTGTCGGTAAATTTGCAACAATGAAATTACCAGAACACAGACAAGTAAACTACAGTTTTTATTTATTTTATTATCACCATTTGTGTTACAGTTACAGTAAAACCGAGATCACGTGATAGCGACATGTGACGCAATTTCGCAAACATACGCACCATCGGCATACTGAATTGAGAAAATTGATTGAGCGCTATATCGCTTGTATTCAAACCGAGGTTCTATTCGAATTATATCGTAGTGAGGCGAGTGTTTTTATCAACGATTTGTATTCAGTTTGACTGCTTCAGTCTTGTTCATCAAGCTTGTCTCAATAACTCATAGCCATCTCGCGGGAAGAAACTGAATTCGTAAAACTCTGGTGCAACTGGGACTTCTCCTCAAAGCGTCATCAATAATCACAGAATCTCCGCATGAGTAACACTGGGAAATACTGTTCCGTTTAAACCAAAGGAAAGCACAAGCGTATTGACAATATAAACAACATTTTATATTACATACACAGTTTCAGCTGCTTATGGAAAATTGCGTTCACCGTTCAATGAATTCCGAAGCGTTGTGTATAGATCTCGTTGGTTGAACACCTCAACTACGGTGTTTGCAAACTTTCGGTCACATTGGTGTTCAACACTTCGAACCTGCTAGGAACACTTTAAACCAGCTTACGTGAATTGATTTATACTTCTATATTTTCTCCGGTGTGACGACCAGTGTACAAATTTTAACTGAAATGTAAGCATATATCAGCTTGCAAAAGTTATGCCGATACAAATACAAATATAAATTCTCTTTTAAAAGCTTGGCCATTCAGCAAGTTCATCAATACAATCAGTCGCTTATTTTATCCGTCTATCGCATTGTTGCTGCTAACGTTCGATTTCTCGTTAATCTAGAAAGCTTTTTCATAACTGTGAGCTCATAAACACACGTTTTCGGTGAACAGGCTCAAATATGATGGTATTTGAATCATGTCCTCACATAGTTTTCTGAAACTTTAAGACTTCTCTGCTGTTGCCGTCCGACCCCGTCTTTTCTAGTGAGTAAAAGGCAATCGCCGCTCAACCTGTAGGCTACAAACCAACTCTCGATACTGGTCGAAGAAGCTACGTTCATTTTGCAGAGCGGAGAACAGCCCCAAGATTAATGGTCTGAAAAAGTCATTGCATTCGTCTTAAAGTCAGGTATCAATACTTCTGAATTCCTACCAGCATGCGCAAACCTTGGTCAAACGTCTTCTCATCCAGTTGTTCGAGCTGAAACTTGACATTGTGCACTTCAGCCGAAGTCTACATTCGTCATGACTCCTAAATCCTCGGAGGTGCTCATGGTGCCCACTTCTAATTGTGTACACTCTCCTTCAGTTTTCAGTGACTGCCGGAATTTGAAGATTAACTAACCCTTCGCTGCTTTCAATAATACCTCTCATTTTAAGACCAATTGATCACATGCGAAATGTTATGTTTTATGCTTGTTCGTCTACCATATTCCATCACGTTTTCGTGTGCATTTATGAGATCCTAATTCATGTCAGACCTCCAGAACAGCAGATTTTGAAACTGATATAAAATTGATCCCCCTGTCTCGTTTTGGGAAAACCTAAAACATTGAATAATTTTTTATCCTATCCTTACGCAATTGTTATTTGCCAACCCATTTATAAGATGTTTCTCTAATCCCATAAAACCTATCTGAAGGTGTAAGAATTGCATTACTGATGGTTGTGAACAGGAATTAACGATTCGGTTCCATTGTGAGCATTCCAATTGGACTGTTGACTAAATGCTGCTCGCCACAAACTTTGAAGTGATAGTAACAGAAAATGTTTCTCACTTTATAATGTCGGACACTTTCAGTATCCATAATTTCTTTCTAGATAATGCTTTTCAAATGACAACCAATTGTATACAGCCCATTAGTTTTGACTAAGCCTAGTGTTGTGTGTGGTCACAATAGACCTCTTACACACAGACAAACGTTCTGGCCCAACTCAGTCAAATAAATATTGCCTAAATTTTCGGATAGGTCCCAGCTCATGCATTATTCATTTGGCAAAATGGACTTCACATGTGCAACC